GTGGTAAAAGATTGTGCTGATCAGTTAGCTGGGGTATGGACTGAAATTTTTAATCGATCCTTGATACAATGCGTGGTTCCTGTTTGTCTCAAGGCTTCCACCATCGTTCCACTGCCTAAAAAGATGCCCACAAATGGTCCGAGCGACTATAGGCCGGTGGCACTAACTTCTATCTTAATGAAGTGCTTTGAGCAGCTAGTTCGAAATTATATTATCTCCTGCCTTCCCGATTCCTTTGATGGGCTTCAGTTTGCTTACAAAGAAAATAGATCAACCGAGGATGCAATTATTACTGTGCTTCACATGGCTTTATCCCATTTGGAAACACCGGGGAATTATGTAAGAATGTTGTTCGCAGATTTTAGTTCTGCCTTCAATACCATCATACCGCACAGATTAATAGCCAAGCTCAAAGATCTAGATCTTCCAGATTCTATTTGTTTATGGATATTGGATTTTTTAACAAATCATCCACAAAGAGTTAAACTGAATGATTATATTTCTACTGTCAAGACACTTAGCATTGGCACTCCACAAGGTTGTGTCCTTAGTCCACTACTGTTCTCCATCTATTCATCTGATTGCACAAATAAACATCCCAACAATAGGATAATGAAATTTGCAGACGATACTACGCTTGTAGGACTTATTTCTGGGGATGATGAGTCTGCATATTGGGATGAGGTACTACAGCTATCCCGCTGGTGCAAGAACAATAATCTTCTATTTAATATTAAGAAGACCAAGGAGGTTATAGTGGACTATAGGAAAAAAAGAGCAGACATTCAGCCACTGTATATAGAGGGAGTTCGTGTGGAACAGGTGGTTGAATGTAAGTTTCTCGGGACCATCATTACAAATGACCTGACTTGGAGCGCAAACACCGCTGCTTTAATTAAGAAGGCACAACAACGGTTGTATTTACTAAGGATTCTTAGGAAACAACAACTGGCTGAGAGTCTACTGACTACCTTCTATCGGAGTTCAATTGAGAGTATATTATCCTACTGTCTCTGTGTATGGTTCTCGAGCTGCACAGTGGCAGAGAAAAAGGCAATTCAGAGGGTGATCAAGACGGCCCAAAACATCATTGGCTGCTCACTCCCCTCTTTGGAAGAACTGTATAGGAATAGACGTAAGAGGAAGATACTTAATATATTGAATGACTCCTCTCATCCGGGACATCAGCTCTTTGAACTATTACCATCGAGAAGGAGATTTAGGGTATTAAGAACAAGGACGACCAGATTTAAGAACAGTTTTTATCCAAGTGCAGTTTTGAGTTTGAATGCAGGGTCATAAGATTTTTGTGGAATTTAAATGGCTGAGAGTAATGGGGTATTTACATTTTTAAATTGCATAGAGATTATTGTATGGTTGGTTGTGTTTAGTTCAATTTTTTTTCTTTCAGTGGCGTTTGTCCAGTTTTACTTTGTGGAAGAGCACCTCATTTCGTTGCACCCGCTAGCGAGTGTAATGACAAATAAATTCTTATGTCTTATGTCTATGTCTTTGGGGGTCCATTGTGGTTCCTAAGTCGAGGACTATCTGTAAATGGAAACCTCTTTTCCTGCAGCTTGCCTCCAAATTCATCAGCTCCTGCATTTTTCTCCTGGCTCGGAATCGACCTGATTTTACTTCCAACACATCAGTTTAAATAACCTTATGCAAGTGGCAGATTAACTTAGGTCGTTCTCCATCCCAGTCACGTTTATATGCAAATATTCCTTGATTTATAACCATTGACTTAGTGACCATTTGAAGCTACTATGGCCTGAAAAAAAGGTGACTCACAGCCGTTTTTTACACTTACGACCATTGCAACATCCCCTTCATCACGTGATCAAAATTCAGATGCTTGGCAATTCGCTCATATTTATGACGGTTGCAACATCCGTGGGTCATGTTGATCCCCTCATTTGCGACCTTCTGACAAGCAAAAACCCTGGGGAAGCCAGGTTCACTTAACAATGGTGTTACTAACTTAACATCTGCAGTGATGTTAAGTAATGTGGCAAGAAAGGTCATAAAATGGGACAAAGCTCACTTAGCAACTATCTTGCTTAGCAAATGGAAATTTCGGGCTCTGTTGTAGTCATAAGTTGAGGACTACCTGTATTTCTTAACAACTTCCAGAATAATATTTCCAGAGTTGAGTTTCTCAATAAGCTATTTATTTTTTGCCAAAAAGGGCTTTCCTGATCTTCAAAAAGTCACTAAACAGATAGTTGTAAATCAAGGACTATTCAAATGGAAAAACTCAGGCTTGGTTGAATTATGGGTACATAAGGACTTGCTTAAGAGAAAAGAGACTCTGCGTTCAAATGTCACATCTTTTAAGATTGGGAACACATGCACATACAGGACCTTGGTTCCCCAGCCCACATGGGGAATTCTGGGAATTGAAGTCCACCCATCTTGAAGCTGGTTCCCCAATGTGGGAAGCCCCCCCCCCCCAGTTTCCTAGAGAATGAAATATTTTGGGTAATATTAAAAGAGACAGAATATTTTATTTCCAAAAGAGAAATGGAGATATGTGTTCTTAAAGGCAGGAAGCAGCCCCAGACTTCCATCCATAGGAAAACAGCCTCAAGCAGAAACTTGAAGAGAGTAGTCTTTAAGAGTGGAGATTTTTGTATCCATTCAGAAAGATTGGGCCAATCTATTCATAAGCAAAGAGATTCCAAATAAGCAACACAATTAGGCAAGCCAAAACTGACAAGATTAGCTCAAACACCTAGGATTTGCATTTCCCCTTTTGCCTGTAGAGCCAGCCATGACCCTTACATGACCTCATAGGAACCTGGCAACAGCCATTAAAATATTAAAGGACACATTCTTGCGCAGGAACAGGCATCTCAATCACAAAGCCTCAAAGAATGTACCAAAGCCAACCTACCCCAACTCCATTTGATCAGCCACCTCAGAAACATGCTGATGTCACTAAAGTTTCTGGCATCCAAATAAACAGAGACCTTCTATCCTGGAGTCTGTAAAGCCAGACTCCATTTTATTTCCAGCGTCTTTCTCCCAGCTTGGGACTGGACCAAATTTTTCTTCTAACACCAGCCAGCATGGGGAATTCTGGGAGTTAAAGTCCACCCGTCTTAAAGCTGCTCCTACCATAGATTGTAGAACAGCCAAGGAACTCTGTACATCTCTCCAGAATTTAACAGACAGAACAAAGTAGCTGGATACAATTATCTTTCTGAAGTTGCTCTAAAGTTTCTTCTCCTGGTTTCATCGAGGGGACTTGGTGCACTGGAGACAGTTGGTCAATTTGCATCAGAAGAGAAGAGACACCCCCCCCCCCCACTTTTGTTTTAATTGCATAGCTCAACCAAACTTTTTATGCTGCATGACAAAGAGCTCAAGGGAATTTCAGCAGATCCAAGTTGGAGTTTCATTATTCATGACTGGACAAGTAAACCTCGATGATTCAGATGTCTACAGAATTTCCTAGTTAAAAATCCCACCAAGCCAACCTAACACCTCTTCTTGACATCCAAGGTTATAAGATGTCTTGGGGAGCCCAAAAAGTGTCTCTGCTTTACCCCACAGGCCAACATGGAAGCCACCCATTCCAGCATTCCATTTCTGACCTCCTCTTTCCAAACTGATTCGTGTGGATGACCCCCATTCTCGGTCCACTCCCTTCCTCGGTGAGTGTGAGGCTTTTCTCCTTTCGATATCTCTGACAGTGCATTAACTCCATTTGATCTCCTGAATTATTCATCTCCGTGTGGAAACATTTCTGGGCAGGGATCTCTTTTTAAAGAGACATTTTGTCCCTGGCACTTGGACTTCTCTTTCCAGAAGTAATAAAACCTTTTGGAGTCTCGTCATAAAGGCATTTCTTTCTCTGCTCTTCCAAAACTCTTTTGGGTGCGATTCTGGGATTTTTTTCGCAAGGATTCCTTGCTCGAGCATCAATCTGGTCAGAAAGTAGATGTCCGGCTTTCCAAGTCAGCGGTGAAGGTAATTTTGAAGGCACCTTTTGGCTGGACTGAACCCAAAAAAACTCATAAGCTTGCAAGCTCTCAAGGAAAACACGTCGTTGCGTGATAAGGCAGGCTTTGGTAGAGATATAAAAGGATTGAGCCAGAGAGAGAGAGAGAGAGAGAGGCAGTCGGATGGAGTGAGTGACAGCTGGAAGGAAGAAAGGAATGATGGAGCCCTTGAAAGAGGCAAAGAGCACTACTACCAACCCACCCCATTGTATCAATAGCCTAAGGGAGAGGGTGTTTGGAAACTCAGGATCTGCCTAAGATTTCAGCAAGCTGAGGAGACGTAGACAATCAAAAAGGACAGAGGACAGCTTAGACAATTGGTGCGATAGGACCAAAAGCAGAGATGAGGCAGATATACAACATTTTCACTGAAGGAGAGGTCCTAACATTACGAGTAACAAATCTTGGGCAGGCAATTCCCTTTTTCTCCTCCTAGGAAAGAACCAGGCAGAAGATTCGATGGAGGAAACGGAGATCCCCGATGGCAGAGAATGGAGCGTTTATTCCTCCCCACCCACTTCGCGTAAATTCCTGTGAAGAAGCAGAACGATTTGTAGAGCAGCAAGAAGACACAGGAATCCGCGATCCGGAGGAGGTCAGAGGATACGAGGAGATCTTGGTGCTCCAAAGATTGGGGAAGCGGGCAAGGGAATGATCAAGAGGGAAGTCTTCCCCACCCACCCAAGAACTAATAAGATGGGACCCCCTCAAGCACGGTGAGAGAAGGACGAGTCTCGTGGAAGGGTTCGTCAAGGACTGTGATCCCTGAAGGTAACCACAACTAAAAATTGGACGGGGGCAAGTGGTGGGGGCTATAAGCAGTGGTGCGATTCAGCCAGTTCACACCACTTCGGGAGAACCAGTTGTTAACTTTCTGAGCAGTTTGGCGAACTGGTAGTTGGAAGAACTCGTTAGGGCAGAGAACCGGTTGTTAAATTATTTGAATCCCACCATTGGCCGTAAGGAAGAGGGGTCGGAAACTTCGCTCCTATGGCCCAAGCTCCGCCTTCCCCGTTGACCCCCAGCAACATTCCCCGCAACTTAAGCTACATCGCCGGCTTGTACGAGAGGGCCTATTATCGCACGGCCCGTCCAAGCATCGCAGAGGATTCGGGAACCGAAGGCTCCGAATCCGAGTCCGAGGGCAGGCCGCGTGGCAGGACCCAGAGACGTCGCCATCTCTTCAGGGGACCCAAAAGTAGGGGAAGGCGCCGAACTCGCTCTGCCCCGGCTCAGGGTAGGATACGAGGAGCATCACGCAGCCGTAGCCCCAGGACTCGCAAGCGGGTGCGCTTCGCCGACTCCTTGGGCCTGGAGCTGATCAGCGTTCGGCAGTTCTGGCCCAACGACCTTCCACAGGTGCCAGAGAGGGTCCACAACCAGCTGAGGCGTGACTCCCTCAGCCACTTTGCGCCGTGTCTGCCATTCTGCCCGCCGGTGAAGGTAACAAAAGTTGATCCTGCCCGGAAGCACCTCGGGGTGGGTTTGGGTGAGCCTAAAAAAAAAAGTTAGAACCAGGCAATCGATTCAAAGTTTTCTTTTCCCCAGCAAAGGAAAAGAACAGGGTGTTCATTTCCTTGAGGGAAAAAAAACAGGACCATTTTCTAACCAGATCTCGGAAGATCAAAAATGTCTTCCTTGCAACAGAAATAGTGCTGCCTCCAGTGGCCACACGGGGGTGCTGTTGTAAACCAGTTTTAACCAAGATACCATTTTTAGAACAGACTATTTTATTGAGAGAATAGAATAGAATAGAATAGAATAGAATAGAATAGAATAGAATAGAATAGAAGCTGGAAGGGACCTTGGAGGTCTTCTAGTCCAGCCCCCTGCTCAAACAAGTAAACCTATACCATTTCAGACAAGTGACTGTCCAGTCTCTTCTTAAAAATCCCCAGTGGTGAAGTGCCCATGACTTCTGGTGGCAAGCTGTTCCGCTGGTTAATTGTCCTCACTGTTAAGAAGTTTCTCCTTCATTTCTCCTTCATTGCTTCTCTCTTTGGTTAGTTTCCAACCATTGTTGGATAGACAACAAGGGTTTTAAAAGGTGAATTAATATGTGCCCTGTCTCTCCAGATCTAGAATTCGAGCCATTTTAAATTTCTATCTAGATAAAATAATCTTACAGGGGTGCCCACGGATCAAAAAAGTCAAGTTGGAAGTTACAGGTTAAAGCTCCGTGGAATGTTTTTTTATGTTCATTGCGCATAAAAAGCAGGTAGCTTTGACCACACCAACCTGACCTTCATTCTCCATCCTTTTGACGATGCCTTCCAGACACCCGTGTAAAGTCTTACAGATTTAAGTTTCCTTGTGCTAATGACAAATTTCCTTAATGTAGACAAGAAGGTGGGCTCCAAAAATCTAGCCATCCGTGGGACGGCCAGTTTTCTGTATCGCTTTGCTCATCCCGTATTTTGCAGAACCCTGTACGGTGGCCATGCTGGAAGAGTCTACCTTAGTCCATTAGAGGGAAAACAACAAAGTTATGACCACAGGGCTATCAAATTTAAACCTGCTGAATAATGCATAATCCAGAAGTTATGGCTATGTCAGGTGCTTTATCCAAGGAGAGTGGCTTCCATTACTTCTAATTAAAAATAATAATCATGTCAGTGCATTACAGCATTGAAAACCTGGCCTTGAACCGTTGCAAAAGATCTGAATGAAGAAGAAAAGCCGCAGAAAACCATTTCTAGGAATAGGATACGCAAAGAACAATTCAGGCTACAAGGAAAAGCCATTATCGGAAACTGTGGTTAGTACCATAGTTTCGGCTGCCAAAAGTCTGGGTTTAGCAATTCAATATTATTTTCTGCTGATTTCTTTTTAACTATGCTTTGGGCTTTTAGAGATTATTGAGCTGCGCAGGTGGTAGGGAGCAATCTCTTAAGGTTCCTAACACCCTGGAGATGTTCCTGTATCTTCAAAGTAGTAAGAAGTGTTATCGATTGGTCTGTGTGGATGGGGTATTCTATCATACGAGCTTAAAAATGTCACTTTCTCAGCTCCTTGGTCCTGAAAATCTGCCCCAAATTGAAATACGTAATTAATTTCTTCATTCCAACTAATTAGAGCTTTAGGGGGAAATTCTTGCAATCATATTCTCTCTCTCTCTCTCTCATTCCCATTTTCCCTTTTCTCTCTCTCTGCTGATTTTCTGTCTCATAGCTCCCCCATCTTCCTTGGTTTTCCACCTTTCCCTCCCCTTTTCTCTCCCTTGACCTGCCTCCCTTTCTGGTCTCCTTTTTTTTGTTTGCATCATCCCTTCATCCTTTTCTCTACAAGCCCACCAGCTGAGAAGGCTTGGTTGTCAGTTCAGTTTCACCCCCACCTGCTCAAGGATAGTCTGATCTCCCTTATTCCAGCTTTCCCACTTATATCTATATTCTCTTATGGTCCCCATCATCTCTTTTTTTTTTATTCCATTACATTTCCTCGTGATTCTTCTTCTTTCCTTGCGATTCCTTTTGGTTCTCCCTGTTTCTCTTATTCCCTTTCTAGGCAGGATTTTGATAATTTGCTCCCTTTTGCTTTGTGCTTCCTTCCTTTCCCTTCAATCTCTCGTATAGTACTCGTTTTCATCCTTTCAGTCCGGTGCATCTACAATCCTACACATTTTCCTTACCTTTCTGCCTTGTTTTTCTTCCAATCAACCCGATTTCCATCTAATCCAGTGGTTCTTAAGATGTTTGACCCAATTACCCCAAACCTGATATCCAAAGATTTTATTACACCCAGAATCTTCTTTTACAAGCACCTCACCAACCACGGCCCTAAACTGGATCCCCGACTCACAAATGAGCCATTACAAATTTATCCATCATCCCTCAGAATATGCCACAATTAGCCCTGTTTAAGAGCCACTGTTCTAATCTTTAAGGCAGCACTGTGATTGCACACTTATGGCCGCCATTTTGACTTTTTTTTTAAACTTTCCACGGCACTCCCCCCTGCTTCTTATACTGCAACAAAGCTACAATTTCTCAATTTATTAATCCTTGCGGAATGGTGCAGTGGCCTAGAAGTGGAGCTCTCGCCTCACAATCATGGAGGTTGTGAGTTCAATTCTAGGTAGAGGCAGATATTTCTCTCTCTGGGCACCATGAGAATATATCTGCTGAACAAAACTCCACATTGGCAACAGGAAAGGCATCCAGCCGTTAAAACTGTGCTAGCTCCATTCAGTTGCCCAGATTCCACCCCGCAAGGGATTATGGGGTTGTTAAAGTAAGATGATTAATCCTTGCTCTCCCATCGTTTACATCCTCAGGAATCTTGGAACCTGCAGACTCGGCTGCTGGAGCCAATGTTCCCAGATCCTCTGAGCATGCCTGATTTTCTGTCCCGTCTTCTGGCCCAGTGCGTGCTTTTGGAGGGTGTCCGGGCCGAGGGATCCTGTGTTTCTGGCACCATCCGTGTAATCAACCTGGCCTATGAGAAAAGGGTCTCTGTGCGATACACCTGGGACTTTTGGGCTACCGAGCACGAAGCTCGTGCCTCCTACGCCGCCCCTGCAGGGCGGGACCAGGACCACGCTGACCGCTTTGCCTTCCGTCTGCCTCTGCTAGTCCCACTTTCCGCAGGGGCGGTGCTCGAGTTTGCCCTCTGCTACATGGTGGGGGGAAAGGAATTCTGGGACAACAACCAGGGACGTAACTACTCTCTGCGGCCTCCTCCTTGCGTAGCCGAGGAAGATGAATTCCCCAGCCCCATTCAAGATTGCTGTGAAACTGGCTGGATACACTTTCTGTAGGCGAAGCTCTGTCCCCAGAAGAAAAGATGGAAAGGCTTGTTGAACCTTTAGTTTGATAGGAAAAGTAGAAGATCAAGGTTGAAACCTAGAGGTACCCAGGCATTTGGGCACCCACACCCACAAACACACCAGAATTGACTCGGACAATTGGATTTGCTTATCACTAAAACAAAATCCACTGCTTGTAGCTTTTGCGATCCCCAACAGAGCATTCACACAACCCCTGACATTGGGCCATCGCTCCGCAAGGAGGACCATTCTCTGTTTACATTCTCTTGCTTGCGATCCAAATCCAGTGTCCATGTTGAGTGGGGAAGTCACTGAATGGAGGTGTCCTCCAAAGCAGAGGTGGGCAGAGATGTCCACGAGAAAAGGATAAAAAAAAAAACAACTCAACATATTAGCCACAATGTCATCAAAGCTAAGTTCTACTCTCCCATCCTATAAACTAAACTTGATACCCTGGAGGTTTTGGAGAGAAAGGGATCGGAGTAAAAGAGAATAAGAGTAGAGCAACAAAGATGATTGGGGACTGGAAGCTAAAACATATGAAGAATGTTGCAGGCATTGGGTATGTCTAGTTTAATGAAAAGAAGGACTGGGGTGACATGATAGAAGTCTTCCAATATTTGAGGGTCTGTCACAGAGAAGACGAAGTCAACCTATTCTCCAAAGCCCTGAAGGCAGGAGAAGAAGCAACGGATGGAAACTAATCAAGGACAGAAGCAACCTAGAACTATACAGAAATTTCCTGATAGTGAATACAATAAACCAGTGGAACGGCTTGCTTTCAGAAGTTGTGGATGCTCCATCACTGGAAGTTGTTTAAGAAGAGATTGGACAACCATTTGTCGGAAATGGTGTCGGGTCTCCTGCTGGAGCATGGGGTTGGACTAGAAGACCTCCCAAGGCCCCTTCCAACGCTGCTATTCTGTTCTGTTCTGTATGGTTCTCTTCTGTTGAAATGCCCATCTTGTACATTGTACACTGGGGGGGAAACACATCTGCATGTACGTGGATGAAGATCAGAGATTGTCTTCGATTTCCTGTTTTCCTTACTTTGGGGAAAACATTCTGGATCTCCATTCCAAGGGACTCATTTGCACGTGCTGTTTCTTCATTTTTTCTGCATGAATGAATGTATTAACACTTCTCTTTGCAATCCTATTTTACTTCTATGCTGGCTGGTTAAAGAGGAAAAAAAAAATCACCCTTGTTATTCCCGATGAGGTGTTTCTTATTATTTTCATCTATGCGTCATGGACCCTGATCCATCTAATGTTTTTTTAAACCCACCAAAAACCCAGAAAAGTTATTTTAGAAACGGCAGGCCATCTTTTAGCATAAGCTGCAGATCAGTGCCTTTATGGGGGGGGGGGGGGGGGGAAACACTCTTAGCATTTCAATTACTTCTATGGTTGATGGATTTCTAAATTGTTTTCTAGCACAACACTAAAAGAACTCAACAATGTCTGAATGACACTCACACAATAGCGGATAGCAATACAAGAACTTTGAGCATTTGAGTTTCCAGAATTCTCAGCAATAGCCATACTGGCTAGAGCAGAAGTGAGGACCTATGTCCCCTTTATGATTGTGGACTTCAACTCCCAGAATTCCTGTGCCTGATCATGGTCATGAAAGGGCCATGATTTCCCACACCTGGGCTAGAGGATTCTGGGAAAATCCCAAGTGCCATTTCTGGAATAAGTAGTTTGATCCACAATGGGCATGGGAAGAACCTTAATAATCACAGATTTTATAACACTTTCTCCAGATCAGTGTCTCTGAACCTCAGTAATTTTCAGATTCGTGGACTTCAATTCCCAGAATTCCTCAGCCAGCAGCAGGCTGAGGAATTCTGCGAGTCGAAGTCCACACATCTTAAAGTTGCGGAAATTGAGAAATGCTGTTCCAGATTCTATTGCATTTTATCTCTGAGCTGACCGGCTTTGCTCTATATAACTTAAAAAGTTAGATGTAAGATGGGGGTCCTTTCCTAGGGGGGCACTGTTGGGAATTCTAGGGCACCATTATGGGCCCTGCCACCCAACTATCTCCATGCCCACCAGAGACCCAATGACTGAAAATGTCCGGAGTAATTATCAGGCTATATGAAACTGATAACCAGTTCAATCATTTAATTATTCATGTATTTGTGTCTCATTGACTGGTGAATTTAAGGGGGAGATGGAGATGCATCTGTTTCTGCTAGATATCAAAGAAACTTACATTCATTCATTCTTCTTAATAACTGAAGGGGGGGGGATGAATCATCTCTTAAATAAATAAACATGGAAGGAAAACCCAGAGATTCCTAATTCACATTTTATACCCAGGAAACACACTTTTTGGCCTAAAGACCTGCAGTTCTTTGGATCCAGGGAATCCTGAAGTGGAGGCTGGATGAAAACTGGGATTTTTCAAGACAGACACCCAAAGGGAGGCGTTGGCTTGTTCAACAGAGCAGGGTTGTTGTTATTAAGCTGTTGTCCAAAGTGAGGCTTCCTGGAAGGGCAAAGTGAGATGGGTGACAGTTGAGGGGAAGACCAGAAAGGAGGAAGCAAAGGAGCGTGTAGCTGGGAGAAGGAAGAGAGGAAGGGTGGGAGAGAAGGAAGGAGGGAGGGAAGGAAGGAGAGAAAAAAGGGGAGGGAGAGAAAGAAAAGGTAGGGAGCAGAATGGGGAGCAGAAGGTATGAAGGAAGGAGAGGGAAGTGGAAGATGAAGGAAGGAAGGGAAGGAAGAAGAGAAGGGAGGCGGGGAGAGAGGGAGAGAAAAAAAGGAAGGAAAGGAGGGGAATAGGGAGAAGGAAAGAAGGAGAAAAGGGAGGAAGAGAAAGTGAAGGGAGGAGAGAGGGAGGAGAGAAAAAAGGGAGGGAAAGGGGAGGGAGGGAAGAAAGGAGGGAGGGAGAAAAACAAAGGGAGGGAAAGAAGGAGGGGGGGAGGGAGAGAAGGAAAGAAGGGAGGGAGGGGAATAGGGAGGAGAAGATAGAAAGGAGAAAAGAGGGAGGGTGGAAGAGGAAGGGAAGGGAGGGAGGGAGGGAGGGAGGAGAGAAAAAAGGGAGGGAGAGAAAGAAGAGAAGGGAGGGAGGGAGGAAGAGAAGGATGGAGAGAAAGAAGGGAAGGGAGGCCCCCAAATCGCGGCTTGCATAAAGAGAAGCCGGGAGGAGCCCCCACCTGCCCGTCCTCTCGGCTGCCCCGAAGCGACCGTCCGCATTCGGGGCGGGGGAAGGAGGCCCGATCTTCCCCCCACCCACCCTCGACCATCCACCGCCTTCCCATCCCGCGCGCTCCCGGCCTGCCCGCTGCCCCCCCCCCCCCCCCCCCCCCTCCCCCCCCCCCCGGAGAAAAAGGCGGGGGGGGGGAGGGGAGAACCCATCTTCGCCCTTCCCTCGCCCCAAAAGACGGCCGCAGAGTCTCCGCTTGCCCAGGTAACTCCGGCCACTGCTTCTTTTTCTTCTTCTTCCCTTCCCGAAGGGAGAACCAACGGGTGGGGGAGATTTGGGGGGGCGGGGGTGTCTAGGATCTAGTCTGCTCCGACTTTTCCCAGCTCTTTCCAACTGAGACCCCCACCTCATCCCCCATTTAAGGCAGCTAAGTCCAGTTCGTAGATTTGAAGGGGGGTTCGGAGCGGGGGGGGGGTCTTTTCCCACGGATCAAATCCGGTCTTTAGAGGGAGGGGGCTCTTTTTCTCTCCCCCTCCCTCCCTCCCTCCCTCTCTCTCTCTCTTTATCCAGATTCCACTCCTTCCCTGCTAGGTTTGCACAACGTGGAACATAATCCTACCCCGCCCCCACCCCCAAAAAAGATGTGGATTTATAAAAGGAGGAATAGTAAAAAAAAAAAAAGGGGGGGGGGAGGGATAGAAAGAGTAAGGAAACTTTTCAAGAAAAAGAGAAGGTTAGGAAACATGGATCCAGGAGGGATTAACCAGCTGAAATGCACATTTTACTGCAAGGTATGGCAGAATAACATGGTGTTCCTCTTTTTTTTTTTTTTTGCAAGATGATGATGTGTGGGGCTGATTAGCCTCCCACTCAGTGAATCTTTCCTCCCCAGGCAGAAGGAAGGAAGGAAGGAAGGAAGGAAAGAAAGGAGGGAAGGGAAGGGAGGGATGAAACGGAAGGAAGGAAGGAAGGAAAGGAAGGAAGGGAGGGACGAAATGGAAGGAAAGAAACGGAAGGAAGGAAGGAAGG